TTTGAATCTCAGTGTCACAGATATGTGAAAGATTTTTTCAAAGGTTTTTGCATATACACTAGAGAGAGACAAAGAGAGAGAAACAGTGAGAGGAAAACTGGGAAATCACTCCCCAACACTTTCCAGCAGGGAAGGCCACTCTACAATCCCCTCTCCTCCACTCTCCTCCTGGGATTTTAAACATGCATGCACATACACCCAGCATGATTTTCAAGCTGCATGATATGGGACTTGAACCACAATTGGCCATGTGGGAGTCCAGCACCTTTACCATCACACCAACTGTTGGCTTGGCTTTTGTTTTGTTTTTTTGTTTTGTTTTGTTTTGTTTTAGTTGTCAGAGGGCAAGTGTGCTTACCAGAGAAACCCTGAGAAACAAGAGAGAAGAGAGAGGTAGAAAGAACCAACCCTTCTCTTCTATCTTTACGTAATATGGAGATTTGGAAAATGCACACCCATGCCCCAAGCATATTTTGTAAGCTTCCAGGGCCAGGATTTGAAACATGCTTAGTTGTTTGGGATCTGGCTCCCTCAACCACTAGGCTACAGGGCCAGACTTGCGAAAGGTTTCTTTCTTTTAAATTGTTTTCTGGAAAACATGTGTGCTTACCTGAGAGAAACAGAGAGAGAGAGTGAAAGAGAGAAAGGAAAAGTGAGAAAAATACTTCCCACAGGGGATAGCCATGTGATTCAATTCCCGAACCCAGTGGCTTAAACTCACGCCAGGCGCGTGTGCACGCGTGCCCAAGATTCCGAGAGGAGAATGGAGGAGAAGGGATTGTGGCATGGCCATCCTCCCTGGAGGGTGATTTCTCGCTTTCTGTCTCTCTCTTTCTCTGTCTTTTTGGTGAGTGCACACGCCCTATAGCAAAAACCTCTTCCCCCCCAAAAAAAAAAAAAATTTGTGATATACATGACGTCTGGTTCCTGTCCTGACACACTCCTTCTTGTAGAACTGCTGTAGTTATTGCTAAGGGTGCATTGGATGTAGTCAGCTATGTTTCCATGTTAGGAACTGGGTAGACAAGCTAATCAGTTTACACCAGAAGTGAGCCCCTGATCAAAGTTAGGTCAATCAGACTCATCAACCAGGAATTTGAAAGAGGGTCTTTAAGAGGCTAAGCAATTTGCTGAGCAGAACTAAGCTGGAGAGTCACTTATACTGGGGACAGAATATATGCCACCATAACAAGCCATAGAGACATGTAAATGACAGTGGAGCAGAAATCATACACAAGCTGATAAAACCTGGCTACAGAATTTTCTTATACTGATTTTCATGGGAGAGATCATTCCAATTGATGTGTCCTTTGTGCGTTGTCTAATGAGTGTCTCTTCCTTGAAGTAAAAGGACTTTGAGATCATAAGGTTCAAATATCTCTTTTCTGAATCTTTTTCTGAGCAGCTACAGACTGATTGAATGAATTTTAATCTACTGACATGCACTAATATACATAAAGTGTTACATCTATTTGGTTGTCAAAAAAGTCATATCATATTTTTTCTACATTTTGCTATGCAAAAAAAGCATCATGACTTGTCAGACAACCCAGTATTTTATTGTCCAATATGAAAGACCTAAATTCAGGGGCCTATTATACTCTAAATGTAAGACAACTATCTTGTAATGCATTGTTTCATACCTATGTTCGACAGTCCTTACTCTCTCCATATTATCAGTGACATTATATCTTTGTTCATCAGATGTTTAGAAACAGGGAGCTGGGAATCACCCCCGACTCTGCTTTCCAAGTCTATCTGATTTCACAGGCCACTACCCTGAACCAACTCCCAACACTGACATTTATTCATGTTCTCTTTGCTAAAAGCTGAACTTCTTGAAGTTAGAAACCCATATCATACACACCTTTTTAAATGCCAGCATAGTGTCCATTGAGCACGGCAGGATCAGTAAATGTAAATTGAATTGAAATTCCCTAATATTACCCAGATTGTAGTCCTTGATCATTGCAGACTATTTCTAAACTGCCAAAATCCACACCTGTACATATACTGTACAAATACCAGATGCCTGAATAATGTATTTATGTTATGCTTTTTTAAGAATAGAAAATAATAATGTATTTATCTTATATTTTGATATATTCAAATTAGTATTTTTGAAGATAAAATTACATAATGGAAGATATTTGATAAGCCTATTGTTAACATTGTCTATTTTTTTGTTTTGTTTCTGAGAGAGATTTTTTACTATAGAGCATGTACCCTCACCAGAAAGATAGGGACAGCAATACAGGAAGTGAGAAATCACTCCCCAGGGGGATGGCCATGCTACGAGCCCTTCTTCTCCATTCTCCTCTCAGGATCTTGGGCATGCACACACAAGTGCCCGATGTGAGTTTCGAGTCACTGGGTCTGGGACTAAAACCATGGTTGACTACACGGGAGTCTAGCGACATAACCATTAAGCCATCTGCAGGTCCCTATTATCTATTTTTTTAAGACTATAAAAGAAAATTGGTACCATGATAAAGTTAGATTATATAGTCCCATCCTCATTCCTATTAATACAGTAAATAAAGTTTGAAATATTTCACTCTTGTAGCAGAATAGAAAAATGGGGTGAAAGACTTATGATTTTATTCAATCATTTTTTAAAATAAAATTTACAAAAGCAAGTGTCCCTTCAGCTGAATGTCAGTGATTACTGCTTACTCTAAAATTGTTAGGATAAGCCTGTATTTTCCTCTTTCTCCTTCGATAGAATTTAGCAAGCGCTTAATCCCCGCTACATCAGATAAACAGGCATCTTCACATTTTGCCCAAGTAGACCATATGAGTGACTACAAAAAGCTTGCTTTGTGATTTTGGTTTCAAAAAATCAGTCATCACCCCACAATTACACCAGCACACGGACACAACAATGTCAACGACATTATACTCTTGGCACTTTGTTCCAGCAACATCTCTGGCAACAACCTAACTGTCTATCAATAGTAACTGGTTAAGTAAATTATGGAATAGCTGTTCCAACTTGCTACGGATTTATGGCAACCTTTCAAAAGAATGAGTCACCTCCCAATGTATTGTAGAGAATAATTGCAAGACACATAAATTAAAAAGAGCAAAGTGCAGGGCAATGTTAAACATGTGAAGAAAAAAATACCATGTGACATTTTCCCATGTACATGTATTTTCCATTCAAATAAATTGTTTACCAGTTAAACAACAACTAAAACTTTGTAAGCAGCCATGATCTTAAAATGTTTTCGATTTCTAAATTAGTTCTATTTTTGAATTTGTATTGAAGTCATACATAATCTCCCAACCTCCATTACTAGCTAATCAAGTAGCTATAGTTTTCTTGATATTCTTTTCCAATGTTTTACATGTGTTATAAATATTCTTTTTCATGGAAATCCCTTCCCAACTTCTATCTTGTGGCTAGGAAGAAGAGGCTTGTCTTTGGTTGGCTTTCTTCCTCCCAACCCATTCTGAGACGGAGAGCAAGAAGCCTAGAGCTAGGGTTGGTACGCTGAGATGTGCAAAGACAGAGTCTCTTGCTGATTCAGTTCCTGTAGAAAGGAAGGGATCCAATAACCAAGGCCCTTTAAACATTTGCTCCTTTCCCCTCTTAAACAGAAGGCCCTTCTTTCTTCTTTCTGAAGAAAGGGTTTCCTGTTTCCCTTCCTCTATTGTGCTTTATTGGAGACGGCAGGCCTTAGTGCTGGCCTTCCTGGCACTTCAGAAAACAAGCACATGTAGAAAAAGAAAGTTGCTCTTGGGTGAGGAAGCTGAGCTTTCCAGACAAAAGGAATTTAACAACAGACATCCTGCCAGCTCCCCTCTCCATGAAGACCCAACCAAAGCTTGCGTCCTGTTGTCTGAGCCCCTTGAAATTGAACTACTTCCGGAAACACAAACACAACAGACATTCTAGGACATCTGTGTTATTTAAGGAAACTTTCTGGACAATTGAATAGTCACTGCTATCCTTTGAATGCCTTAAATACAGCATTTTGTGGTTTTGATGCAGACTTCTAAAATCCTACAGAATAAGCAAAAAGTGGGAAGGTGGTTTTCCCCTTTCAAGAATATAAACAATATCAAATTTGGTCTCTGTCTCTCACTTATGGGAGAAAATAAATAAATAACATCAAATTTGGCAAGTAAAAATTGCAAGCATGGTGTATATTTCGTTTCTGTGGGTTTTCTTTTAAACAACATATTCCTATCTTCATTTCAATCAATATATTTCAAGGTTAAGCAAAAATTGAAATAGTTAACCCATGTAGCAAGAAAGGAGTGGCATGAGGAGGAATTTGTCATTTTTATGTAGTGATTATTTTAAAATCAAATTAATTAGAACACATCTTCTTTGCATGCAGTGAATTGTATTTAAGACACTTCAAATGAACTTATTTGGTACAAAATCTGCATGTATTTGTCAACTGTATATTCACACGTAAACATTCTCTTTCTGGCAAGCACTATTTACTTTGATATAATTGTGACAATTTCTTTCCTTGCCCAATAGGTATTGACCATTTGGGTAGCTATTGTTAATTTATTGGAAACTGCTCTTGAAAGTACTAAAGTAAGATTCAACCTCATTCTACCATGATCATTTAAGTTTATTGATGGAGAGCACGTTCCTTTAATTACTCTAGCACTGATCAATACTGTCTTACTTTTAGACAGTTTTCTCTGGTCTTCTTTAAACACGACACATTCTTGTTTCTATAGTGTGCATTGGACACACACTCACACATCCCTCTGGTTCACAACCCCCAAATTTATCTATGTTTATAACATTTCATGATATTGAATGTTAAATTTTACTTCAAGGACTATCATAGCCTTGAGAGAAATATAATTTAAGCACCGATATTGAACATTTCAGGAAATAAGCTAGTATTTCCATGTTATATTTAAAATACCTATTATTTGTCATTCCAAGAGCTCCATACAGTTCAGGTCTTAGAATTGAAAGGGCAAAAGGCTATGCACTTATGAACTATAAACTGAATCTATTCCAATTCAATATAGAATATTTATTAGAGTCAAGATAATAATCAATGTGTACAAAAATTTACATAACAAGAGAAGCAATAGACAATGCAGCACCTTTAGAAAAATAATTAAAAGTTTTGTTGCATTTACAGGTTAAGTGCCACACTGAGAATTTACAGCACAGTAATTTACTGCAATGACAGGAAAGTTCCATAAAGAAACAAAGCTCTTACACTCCAGATTCTTGGAAGGTGTTATTGGAATGCTTAACTGTAACCAGAGAGTTTGTACATCCTCAGGGTTGAGCTGATACAATTCATGAAAAGTTTTGTAGCATAGATTCTATAGAAGAAGTCCACTGCATTCGGATAGCTGGTTTAGTGTCTCTGACAGGTATGAAGCCTCGAAGAATTACTGGCTTGATAGTGATCTCTCTGTATCCGGCAAGACAAACCTTCTCCACAGTAACAGCGCTGGAATATCTCCAGCCCATGGGAGCCTTTCTTCCTGTGCTTGGTGCACACTTGACCTTCTTTGAGGACAGGCTTACAGATTTTGGACCAGAAGTGTCTGGCACAACACAACCCTGTGGCACAGTCTGAAGATCGGAGACAGACAGAACCCTCTTGTCCTACAAAGGAAGAGACAGACGACATGTACATGGTTACTGCTAAGCCTCCATCATTACGTTAGAGAAAGATCATTCAAAAGACATTTCTGATGTGCTAACGAAGAACAGCGAATCTTCAGGTCTCTGAAGGTACCTTTGGTGTGATAGATTGTTGAAGGTAGTGTGGTTCTTCTGGACTGATCATCCGGGATGCTGTGATCATTTCCAAAGCTTTCCACGATGGTTTCCTCGATTTCTCCTCGATTGAAATGATTATGATCAGAAGGCATACATATTCCTAAGAAAGCAGGAGATAGTGATTAACTCCCTGGCTGTAATGCTAGCTGTGGCCGTGCCAGTCTGTTACGCCCGCCACCAACTTGGGGCACCTCACTGCAGTGGCATTCCTTCAAAGACCAGCCCAACTCCCTCCCTAGTATTAATGGAAAACTCTCTGTGGCCAGAGGCACCACTGTGTACACTCTGCAGTCACGTGCAACATCCCCAGCAGAGCCATTTAAAACACTGTCTTACCGACTGTGGTCGCAGCAATGAGATTTCTACTCATTTTAATATCAACCTTGGGATAAGAAAATCAGTCACTTAAAATATTGTTCTTAAAAATAACTTCTCTGCCCTTGGTTCTATATGGGTACTACCAGACTAAGTTAAGCAAATACATTTTCAGCTGCCTGGAAGATTACCATCTTACCCACCAGTTAGCTTACTGTATAATTTCTATATTACAGAGATTTTGTAAGTTTATACTGCAGTACCGCTTGGTCCTAAGGAGGGTCGCCACCCTGCAAGTTTATTTCTGGAGACCTCTTTGGCTGTCTGAGTCTACCTCTTTGAGACACTAAATTTTAGTGGCTATGTGGTTGGAGGGAGGAGTACTTATTTTAAGGGAGCAGGGGGTGAAAGAAGGCGGGGCTGGAGAAACCAGGGTGAGAAAGTATCAAAATCTCTCTTATAAATAGCCAGCAGTAGCCTGCAGGTGGCAGCAGCGTTCTCGGAGGCTGATGATTCATATGGGTTTACTCTGAAACCTCCCAGAGGAGCTAGGTATCAGTGCCGGTGGTCTGGGGCTGGCTGAAGACAGGAGTGGACTGCAATATCAAAACCCTATTTATTAAAAAAAAAAAAAAGCCCAGTGCAAATAAATCATTCTATCCTCTGACAACAGTTTCAGTGGGGGTCAGGAGAGAGGCCGGTCTGCCAAAGTCCAGAGTCACCATAAGAAAAATGGGAAGGGCAGCTACACCCCAAAGCTGATTCCCTTGGTTTTTCTTTTTTCTTCTTAATTTGTTTTCAGTCCGACCCCCCTCCCGATCCCTTCCCAATCACCTCAAGGTTCTCCCCAGACAAATTTTTGTGGAATAGCCCACTAGAAGGTAAGCCATCCTGTTAAATCTTTGAGGGACACAGACGAAATGGAGCTCAGAGACCTTTCTTCTCCCAGATCAAACACTCCGCGATATGAGATTGTGGGGGGGGGGGGGGTTGCTGAGCTCTCATTTGCAGGTGGCGCCGCAGCGTTTGCACAGCGAGAGCATTTCCTGCGATCCGTAGGTAAAGGCGGGACGACTGGAGTCCCAAAGTGAGCTAGCTACAGGACTCACCGTTTTTGCAGTGATTTCCCGGGCAGCACATAGCGTTACGCACGCAGCGTTTCCGGCGCTTCCTGCAGGCGAGACAGATTTGCACGCCCGCGGCCCCTCCGCGGGTGGGACTCGCACAGTACTCATCGGTGTCGCACT